ATTTGTTACAGATTCATAATCAGCAAAACGCAGGATAGTGTTTGCGGACATAAAGTTCATAAGTAAACCAATGAGACGATTCAAAACGATGTGTGAGATGCCACTAAGCGTGACTATTTTAGGTGAATACCATTTACGAAGTATGACATAATAAATGGTATGTTACTCATTGGACAAAATTTACCGGGAAGCATATAACCCATTTCACGGTGATTACCTTTCGTCAGGTACGTGTATCAACAATTTATCACTTGGTCATTTATATACTTGATAGCCGGGAGGTATACTTTTGTCACAAATGTGTGATAACCATTCTGAGAAAATTCACTGGATTAAACTCGGATACTTTTATACTTCTGGTCATGTCACACTGAACTCCTTAAATGATTGTGCCGCAGTTCATTCATCAGAACCGTGGAACATGTGTTGAGCTGATGACTGTACATAAAGTAGAGCAGAATAGAGAAAGGTTACTTGAACATACCTTGTTCACTGTGGCCAGGGTGAGATAGCGTCGAAGAACAGATGGCTCGGGACAGCTGTAAGTACTGGTCGGACTCATCAGATCCCATGAACTCCATCCAGATAGCGGTATTGAGACATGCTCGCCCAGATGAGCTTCCGGAAGAGTGACTATCTTGAATGCAGGATGAAGCCAGTGTGAGGTGTGCTGTGGTAGAACAGCTCGGGAGGGGGCGAATTTTTGTTTTGGCAACTGTCCGATTAATGGCAACAATTCACCATCGGGTCGGTGATCGACTGGTTCCCGATCGCCAAAGAACGACGGATAAGATCGCCGTGGAACAGGAACATCCCAACCTGTGCATGCGATCAAACATAGCTCTTGAACAGACAGGTCCAGAAGGCGGGAAAAAGAGAAACCTAGTGTGGAAAAGAATACAGAAAAAAACATCAAAAAACGGTATATGATTCATGAAAATATAACAAAGAAAAGGGAATGAACGGTGATGCCACGGGGATTCACGATATGATTATGATAACTTGTAGTCTAATCGCTGGTAGCTAAGAGACACTGGGTAGGATAACGGTGACACTACCAATTGGGAGACAGACATTGAGGTATAAACCTCAAGCGCTATTGACCATACGTTTGATCAACAGAGTGTACTGTGTGTCAAGGAATTCCCCTTCCTTAGACTTCGAACATTCATCGCATGTGTAAATGATGCAGAAAACGAAATCAATTAATGGCTTTTAGGGTAATGCATCCGATATACTTTTTGAGATAAGTTTCATACGCAAGAAGAAAACAAATTCGGCAACTGTTTTCAAAGACATTCACACTACAAACGGGGATCGGTGAAACTGAGGGAGAGCAAATCTAATGATTTTGTAAAGCTATATCATCTTAGAAGTGTCTACCAGTCTGCTCATAAAAAACGCTGGGTCAAATAAGTACATTCACGTTTTATCTTCTAGATATGTTCATTCGCAGCCAGACATTCCGGAATGAAGGATGGTAATCAGCCGACATTCATAGCCACCCAACTAACCACAGAGCTAGCAGCGGGAACGGTCAAAATATACAGTTTGGGTTCGGTTTTTACACCCATTAACCATCCGATGGCGTGCACCGGCTGTGGTTGCTGTATTTCAGCTGCGCATTCCTTCGATAAATAACGGGGTGGGTGGAAGAGGTGGGAGATCCGAAACGAGTATCACGAGAAATATAAACAAGGCAAGGGAAATAGATATGTGCAGAAAGTAAGTAAATGCACGAGTGCCGCTGTTTACGACATTCGGTCAAAGTATTATGTATATTATATTTGGTCGGTCACGACATGTCCCTTCGGCATATCATTTGTTTCGGTCGAAGTTTTTACATCACTATGCCATGTCATAACCTCACTATCTTATCCCTTCTCTCAATAACCGTTTACCTCGGAAAACATTTTAACAGAGACGAACTCCCAGTAGATGACGTGTAATGATGATCGTGTTCGATCAAATGGGAAGAGATGAGGGAAAAGCATGCATACAATAAATTCACTTACATTTAGACGGATGAACCGAGTCGGTCCGATTAGAACCGATCTGCGGAGTTACTTGTTCTGACCATGGGCCCAAATCCGGTTCCAAGTCATCGTGATGCCATAGATCAGCGTGCACGTGAGCCGGATGAAAAATGCTGAACCAGTGCACAACGGCGGCAAGCTGATCAGCTGTTAAGTAAGTCAGTGAGTCGATAGGCCATGCGGGTAGGCTGACACCGGGTAACTGTGTCCTGATTCCCGTATGCGTCCAAGACAGCCCGGGGAGAAGACCTAATGGTGAACAGAATTGCGAGAACCCATAAGGGAAGAAAATTGACTGCTATTTGAAAAGTATTAGGAATATAGATAAGTCTATTTTTTAGTCTGAGATGTTTAGAAAGTAAAAAATGAAAGTATCGCATATAAGAATTAATAATAGCAGATTAGGTGGGACTCATTTGTGGGTTTGTTAAGTGTTAGACTGAGGTTGATTTCAGCAAAACAGAATCATTAGCACATCACTATTCTACCGGTTAAGAGTAAGCTCCGATGCGTAATATTCAAGAAGTGGGAGAAGAGCAAGAAATAAGCAGGTATAGATGGTAAAACTGATCTTTGATTCTTCCATCGAATATGTAAACAAAGATTTTTAAAGACAAGGAGTGTTGAAAACATCCACGAATCCTAATGTTCATAAATGCAACAGCGACGGTGGATATGTATCTAGCGGAAAGGGTTTAGTAAGCATCGGTAGCACATGGCATATTATAGGAAAAGATCATCTTGTCAAGTGTGCACTTCAATGTCAGAATTACGTAAGCAATCGCATTTGATTCAAAGGAACGGGTTTTATTCGAGAGAAACTCGGCCTCAATGGAATTTACTCATTGGGTTATTGTGGGCTTAGACTGACTTCACTCATGCAATGAATCATCCTCACATTCACGTCTGGGCATGGTGACCGACTTATCGATCCATCTTGACGTGATTCGCTTCCTTACTCGACCGATCGACAGAGGTCAATTAACTCCGGGTTCGTTCTTCATTCGTACCTATGATGCGCAGTCGATCAACGATCACGAACATAACGTTCCCAGGTGGAACGAGTGTGTGTGGGGGCGCGGGGGGGGGGGTTGAAGGGAGAACGGCCCACCTCAACCCACCGAAACAATCGACTTCGCTCGGTAACTCACTCAAAAAGGTACTTTTGTTTGTTTACGGAGAAGTTCATTCATTCGGATTGGACGGGGTTTACACAGACCCGGTCCCATCGGTGACATATGACGGCCGAAACACCAATAATCTTGTGGGATTTCCAATGGAGCGCGATAGGTTGGATTTACTTGAAGTTAAAACGGATTCACTTGAAGTTGAAAAGATATAGAATCAATTGCAAAACAATGCTAGTGAATAATCAAGATGGTGGTGGCGCAGTAGTGTCATCGCTGTCACCGGCGTGCTTGGGCCCAATGGTTCAAGGTTTGAGCCTCGCCACCCCCATCCAACTTTGGTGGCAAGTAGCTCCGTTGTCGTCCATTTCAATATCACGCATAACCCAAAAGAGGGGGGCTTATGTGGTTCGACACTCCAAGTTCATGGAACTGGGTTGCCGGTTTCCATCACTGAATAGCAGGTCTGCGCGACTATGGGGTCCACCTAGTACGCTGTTCATCCTACAAAACATTTTCAATGGTGCGCTCGCATATTCGCTTGCAAACGCACTTATAACGTTTAATATCATGGCGGGGAAGNGTAAGTTTGTTAGGTTTTGTTGATATACTCATGTCAACTCTTACAACACGGCAAACGAACTCGAAGGAGCCCACCAATCATGAGGGGACAATCGATGAGGAATAAATTCTAAGGAACAAGAAGGTGAAAGCCACAAAAAAAGTTCTGCATTCACGTGTCAGTTGTTTCAATGATATCAATAATGCTAGGTAAGAATGGCTTCTCGCCTTTTATCGCAATCACTAATCGATTGCTACTAGTCTACAAACAACTCAGTCAGACCGACGGTGGCTAATTCCGCAAAATGCATATATCTAATTGTCTACACGCCTCCCTAGGCTTTGCATTTACAGCCTTTGTTGAAGACGTTCAACTCGTGGCGATGTTTTCATTGGAGTGAGAAGGCGAAAATCAACCTCCGGGAATAATACTGGATTGAAGCGAAACCAGCAGCTAGATTGCCTAGGGTAGTTGACACACACTGATAAGGCACATAAACTGCACCCAATACTTTTGAGTATAGGATTAACGGTTTGATTGAGTTATGGTGTGTATAGGGTACCGTGGCACAGGTGTCATGTCCGACAGGCGCACGATCGAAGGGATAGCGAGTGCGAAGCACTGCTTTGTAACCTTGTTAGTTAGTCTATTCTGCTACGGGCTGGAGGTGAGGTTCCTCAAAGCAACATTCCATTCCTAAATTTTTATGCCACCGAGGAAAAAGCTCACCTTCATCGTAAAACAAACGAGGAAGCCAGAAACTGTGCTCTCTCGTTCGACTGGAGCCGGCACGCTCATGCTCTGTAGGACGAATGGCACCGTGGAAACAGGCAAAGCGGACATCCCGTGTTTCCCACAAATCCGGATGATTGCACACTTTGCGCAATTGCATGACCAGGTTGATGAGATGAGTGGTTGCATTCGAGGGTATCGGACCGCTTGGATGGGAGACCAAACCAAGATCACTCGAACCAGTGTTCGATTGATCGGAACCAATCACAGAACTGAGATCCTCTAGACGAATTTTGTTACGCAATCGGTCGTACAGGATTTGCTGTCGATTGCTAAGAGGACAGTATCGTAAAATCTCAGTCTACAAGAGAAGTAGATAGAGATGGATAGGAAGAAACAGTACTGTTTATTCATTGACTTCGGTTTAATTCAAATCGACACAGGATAAGTTTGGAATTTGCAGATCTGCAAGTCTGTTCCGGGAACTGGATTTGGATTTGAAGCATTTCTCCTGATGCACCGAAACCTCAAAAACCACGAAATGGTCAGATTCTAAAGAGTCGAAATCAATACATTTGTTCTCATATATATTAGATATAAAAATTAACATTTTTATATCTCTTCCATAGATTAATTGATGATTTGAAACCAGCAGTGACGAAACTGATATTTCAACTTGGACCCCTTAGAAAAGGATTACTTTGGGGTCTCGGAGATACCGATGTACCGATATACACACACAAATCGGTATTGGGACATTTCTTGATACAGATCCTATGTTTGTATCTGCCGCATGGAGTAAATGGAAGACATACTGTGCGAAACAGAATGCGCAATCTGCTTGAAGAAAATGAGTTAACCTGATCAGTTGGCCTACTAAGGTTCTGGTGAAATACCATCTCAAGGAATTGAAAACTCATACTTTTTTTATACGCGATAACGGATTGATGCATTAGAATGCCTCCGAACGCCTCAGTATGGTCGCTGTGTGTTGGGTTGTGGCTCGTCCTCCCCCTCCCCCCTCTTTGAAACTTCCAAAACGCGCCTATGCGACTGAGCGTCTAGAATAGCCTCTGCTGAGAAGGCCCAACTCACTGCCGGAGGTGATTTACCACCAAAGTAAGAGGATGAAAAGCCAACATCTGCAGCTATAACCGGGTCGGTGAACCACTGGCGATTTCCAGAGGGTAGTTGGCTGAAAACCCTGATTCCAAACTAACCAAGAAGAGGTGTGCGAACCGCACACACTCACACCTTGTTGGTTGCAGCAGTGGTCATCCGCTCGATTGGGCAGCTTGGACGTTTGACCGCAATTCAAAGGGCGTACGATCCGATGAGCTTGACACTAACCCCCAATGGAGTGCGGTTTTCAAACACCCATTCGGTGCTTTACGGGTCCGGCTTTGGCTAGCAGACGGCTGGTGTTGTGAATTCACCAAGAAAGTTTACCTGCTTTGGCCTGGGCAACATACAAGCCTCGTGACCACGCGCAACACATGGAACCTCTTCTTTTCATAAAGACTATTGTATCGTGATTTGTTGAGCACATAGTATGTACTCAGACGTGTGAAACATAATAATAATAATAATACTCAACTACGAAATATATGGGAGTGTTAACATGTGTGGCTTCAATAGTTGGGAATAACTGCTAGCTGATTCAAAATTATAGACAGTGCACCCGCACAATAATTGGTGAAACTCAACTGTTCAGAAGCCATCCAAACCACGTGACTGTACATTTCCTTACTTCAGTGTCAGGTATTTGGATAAAAGAAGAGTGCGCTAGGTATAAAGGGAATGAAAGGGTAAACCTACCTTTTTCGAAATCTCATGCTCTACTTCGGCTTTGGTCCGTCGAAGCATGAATGGTTTGAGAATTAGATGCAAGCGAGACAATTGATTCTCATTCAGTTTGGACGTTGACAAACCCGCAGCACCGGATGAGGACCCGGTTGTGGCTTGAGTTGCCTGGGATTCTATGTCACGAGAGAACCAGTTGGCGAATTCATCGTGTGAATCAAACAAAGATGGCATAATGAAGTGCAGTAAAGCCCAGAGCTGGGTTCATTCACAGGAGATGGGGACCGAGAAGGAGATGGGAGAGAACCGCAGATTTAATGGATGATATGTGTGGTGCGATAATATGAAGAGATCAGTATAAGAAAAGCTTCTATATATTCTTGTTTAAACACACAACATGAATGACAGCATCGCCTACTAGAACAGCGGTTGCTTTGCTCTAATCATAACAAATCCACATGGTTAACAAAAGCGAATGCATCAGTTTGTTCAGATGAATAAAAATGACAAAATACACACTCAAAAAGGGGATCGCCACCGGTTAAAGGCTACTAAAACACAAACGATGGCAATCGTGAAATTCGAATCCGAGAGTTATGGGACAATTTTTGGACTATCTGCATCATCCTGAAAACGCCGCTCACAAACTCCCTTCATGTGTTCGTTCGCGGACAGATGAATGACCTATTCGAATTAATGTATGAACGTATTTTACCATGTGGCAACAGAGGCATTTTAAAATCTGTAGTATATCGAATCAACGGAGAAGCTTGATACATTTTTCTGTTTATCGATTAGAATTTATAATAGCAAATGCCCACAGGAACTGGGATCCATTAGTGCATGCCGAAGATTTTGAATAGCTATCGATCGAATTCGGGCGAAACGGTGACATTTATTAGATGTCTCTTGCTCCCAATACCTAGCGTTTTGAGGCTCAACTACAGGAATGAATAAGGTGTTACCCCCACAAGAGGCACAATGTATCTATAAGTGTTTACCTATATTATTGCTGCTATCAATCGAATATCCTTTAAACGTACGGCTTCTCGACTTCGAGGACGGTTGCTGCTGCATCAGTTGTAAGATGACGAAACCACAGTAGAAAAACATGAGAATGTATTGATAAAAATGATTCATAGGCATAACCCACGTTTTGTAGTTACATTTTAGCAATACTCTGTGTGCCCTCCGATGTTTTGAAGCACTAAGGTCAGTCGTTATGATATGGAGCCCATCAAGTTGAAAATCAAATCACACTCGTCAGTTTCCTTGAATACCTGCCGCACTCTGGCCATTGACAATCACTATCAGGGTACCTAACGTATTGCTGTGATAAACACACGGAAAATGTTTTCGAGAACATTCAGCTCCAGGCTGTTGGGTTCAACGCATGCCGTTGACAACGATAGGGCCACTGCATCGCCATTAACACCAACTTTTCCACTGCTGAACCCAGATCTTCCGCGCTTCCAACAAACGCGTGCAATGTTACAATTGTCTTTTGACTGAGAGCCGTTGAAGAAACGTCTCGTGGGGCAGGATTCAGTGATATATCGATAGACGACAATGCGACATAACGTTGATCGTTGGTTTCATGCGGACAGTGTGGGACTGTGATTGATTACTTTAGCTCACCAGCGGAACGCCTCGGAAGTCATGTGCTCAAACCCCATCTCCGCTTAACTTTCACCTATATTTTGTGGCAGCTTTCAATGGAGCGAATAGTGTTTCCTTAAAGCCGGTTGTACATTCATCTATTTAATAAAAGTAGAGCTTGAATCCGGGTAGGAAGGACATGTTATAATAAGTGATGAGCTCTAATAGGAAAAAAGCCTGGATCTGGTGCGTCCGGAGTACAGGAATTAAATGAGGATGGGGTAGTCCAAAAGCAGGTTAGTCAAAATCACTAGGACTTATTCCAAATTACTACTCGTGAGTAGCTGAGAATTATCAATTAAAACATTTATCGTTTTGTGCAAAACTGCCATGCGCAGTCGGATAAAGCTTACTTCTTGCATTGTATTTTGGATCGGTGTTCCTGTGAGCAGAAGACGATTGCGACACTTGAACGACAACAGGATGCGCCAACGCAAACTAGGATGGAAATTGACAGAGAAAAAGAAAAGATGAGCATTCCAAAGACAAATGAAGTGAGAGAAGTATCGCTCGTTCGCACGCACGCTCTCTCTCTCTCACACACACCTGGATGTACTTTTAATCGCATGTGCCTCGTCCAAAACGATATAAGACCAGGCAGTTTTGTTGATAAATTTGGCATCCTGTAGAACAACCTGATAACTTGTTATGACCACATGCATTTCGGCCTCACGCGTTCCCAGTTGTCCATGTGTGACCCAGTCAGACGATGGTCCGTCATCGTCCGGATCGTGAGAACCAGAGGTGTTCAACGAAGAACCGGCCTGACGGGCAGAGAACCAGAAACGGCGCAACACCTTTCGCTCAGCCGGACTCCCCCAGTAGGGCACAATACGAAAAGATGGAAGAAATCGGGCAAACTCCTGCGTCCAATTGTGCAACGTTGATGCTGGTGAGACAATCAAAAACGGGCCCCATAGTTTGTAGGTCTACAATGAAAATGGAGCAGAGTCCACATAGATAGAACGTGTTCATCGAGAAAAAATATCACTGCGACAGTTAAATCCGTGGTAACGTGACAGTAATGTGTACCCTCCCAGGTAGTTCAGAGATTATCATTATTATTTTGAGATAACGCCAAAGTATTCCTTGCCAAAGTACCACACGGGTTGGTAAACAATGTCAGGATTGCTTATAGAGCCAGTGGTCCTATTGTACTGCACATTTACCTCGGCCAAGTAGCCCAAAAATGCGATCGTTTGAATGGTTTTCCCCAAGCCCATCTCGTCGGCCAAAATCCCATTGATGCCCTGATCGAAAAGTCCCAATAGCCAGTTGAGACCCTGCAACTGGTAAGCCTTCAAACTGCCTTGAAACAAACGTGGTGATTGCACAGTGGCAGTGGTCTTCGGATCTGACGTTTGTTGTTGTCGATCCACGGGCGGTATGGCAGGAGTGGGAATCAGGTGTTCGATTTGTGAGCGCTGAAAGCGTGGGATTGGACACAAAAACACGGTATGAGATTATACGGATCACATTTACCCGAAACTCTCGGATCAATTGATCAAAAACAGACCACATTCAATTGAAGTTTATTGGATTTTTGTTTACGAAGCAGGAACTTTGGGATCATAAGAGAGAAACTTGAACGAACATCGAGTGACAACAGAGGAACGGAAAAAATCTAATCTAAGGTGGATAGGACACATGGAGTTGGCCATAATTGTGTCAGATCCATGCAACTAAAATGAGGTTACAGAGAGGATCTATATAACGGTCCGCAAATGACGGATGATGTGAACATGGCAATTGCTCCAGGATAAACATGATCATCTCTAATGCTACCCTCATGATAGTTTGCAGTTTGAGTGCCGGCATGGACACAAAAAACGCGCACTGCTGACGAGTCCCAGTAAGAATGAAACGGCTGTGAACTTATTACCATAAATGCAAGCTTCAAATTAGACAACAGTCGGAGCTATTCGTGGAACCTTTTTCACAAGAGGTAGGACGCATGACCAACGGTTGCATTTACAATCACCCCATATAGGAAATTATAGCGAGAACCAATTAAGAGTGAGATTAAAACTCCTAATGGGTAACGACTGATTCAGTTAGGCTTTACTCCATGACGAATCTGGCAGGTAGTTGGTATACTGACAATTGGTCACATGGTAGCTGGAAACAGACTCAAAGGCAGTTATACTGCTAGCACACATTACCGTACGATCGGGAGCCGAGTATTACATACAGATAAACATGTGGCACTTACGCGATCACGTTCACGTTCCACGGCCAAACGCACTTTGGACATTGCTTCCGACTTCATACGCTGAATATCTGTAATGATAAATGGGGACCAGAAACTCGAATGAGAAACATCAATTAAACCGATCACATGTTATGATACCATACGTGCGTGCAAAACAAAAATAATTTCTCCTCTTAGGACCGATCGAACCTGGTAATTTGATAGATCATGGGACAAATTTACTTCCTACAAAAATCTATTGTTTCTCCATTGTAAAGAACAATGTGAAGAATAATCGATGGGACCAAAAATGACCATGAGGCCTTTGTACGATTAAGGTTACCGACCGACTAAACTCTGCAGCTTAAAGTGAAGAGCCATATAAAAAATAGATAAGGTATTCAGCCAAATGGAGGTACCTTAGCATCACTAGGGGGTCGAAAATGAAGAACTCACCATATTCATCTTCGGTTTTGATTCCTAAACGAGTTGCTGCAGCCTTAGCAGCAACAGCTATTGAACTGGATCCAGTAGATTTTGCTTGCGAGGTAGGTGACTTGGTCGGCGATCCTGTTGTAGACTCCGCGGAAGGATCTTCCAGCGCCGATGTAGGCACTACTTCTGTTACTACGTCTTTCGATTCTTCTCCAACCCGTTCCTCGATTTCATCATCTGATTCCTCAAGCCGACGGAGAATGCGTGTGGTTTCCGCTGCCTCTCGGTCCGTCTCCGATACCGCAGGCCATTCGGTTGAATTTTCTGTTTTCTCCCCGTCCAGAGCATTGTTTTGATCAACGGTATTCGTGGTAACAACTGCATCCAGTTTTCGAGCCATAAAGTGAGCGTACAACTCCGTCTGAGTAATTAAAAAGTTCAGTTTACGTTGTTGCCTCCGGGCTTCGAGTAACTCAAGGTCAGCACGACGCTGTTCCGCCGCAGCTCTTTCTGCCCGGCGTCGGGCTGCCGCAGCTGATTCCACAGCAGTACCATCTGAACCACTGATTCCACCCGAAGCGTCACCTTTCGCTGAGACTCCAAAGGCGTGGTAGTCCGACTGACGCAACATGGCGGACGATGAAGACCCAGTCGAATCCGTACCGGCAGGAAATGTGATTCCGTTAACTGTCAGAGGCCCAGTACCATTGAGCATGCTTTGAGCGGAGTTACGCCAATTAGTGGCAATCTCTCGACAAAGACGATGTCCGCGATCTGGCGATCAAATAGAGTGAAAAAAGGAACAAATTTAGAGAGTGACAACATATATGATTATCAGATTTATCAAACACCTTGCTCAATGCACAAACTTACAGTATTGTAGGGAAACCAAAATCACTACAATCTCAAGCTCGGATATGAGAACAAGATATCACAAATTGGAACACAGTGATGCTATTCAACAAGGTAAAATGGAATTACGACATCTAATAGAAGTTCGGAAACCAATTTTCGGGTCTTCTTATATGTACACTACAACTGGAGGTCGGTACAGCTTTTGTTATCTATGTTAGATTGGCAGTAGTTAAGCGGTAAAAGTCGCTGTCACTGAGTAGATTCAAGTCTTAAGGTTCAATGTTCGAACCCTTCCGCCAAAACACTACTCTTGTGGCAGGTAGATTCGCTGTTTTCCGACTATTCTACTGGTCACACAAAGCCAGCTGTTTGGGCACCTCCTGGCTTCCCCCTATCTACATCCGCCCCTGGAGAGGTCACTCCAGCAAATCAACACGGTGA